GATGGATGCACTTTATTGGTCTTCAAAATCTCGACCCCCATTCACTGCCATTATAAAGCTTGGAAGATCCAGGACATTTTTTAACATGACTCCGACTGTATTCATCTGAAAAAAGAAAGTCATATACTCCCAGGATGGCTTGAGGAAGAGTAAATCATGGGGTAATTTAAATTTTTGGGTGAACGATCCCTTTAAATCAAAATGAACACAATCAACAGACAGACCAAATGTTTTCCTTCAGTCAATTTCCACTCTTGAGAAAGAAAAAAAAAGAAGAGACTAATATTTGAGGCAGGGGTGGACAGAAATCTCTGCAGTTGTAAATGTTTCATATTAGTCTGCAGCAAGTGAATCCGCAAGATATCAGACACACTTGTCCAAGCACAATGTTTTACAGTCAGCAGAGCTGTGTTTAAGACTGTAGTCTTAAAGTATTAAGACAAACCGGCATAACTTGCACGTTAAAAGCGGAAAACAAACAAACAAAAAAATGCATAAGAAATAATAAGAAAGCTTGACCAAGATCTTGTATTCTGGAGTTCATTTGTGTTTTAGTGCTACAGGCCAAGATTCATAATTCAGGTAAAGAACAGAAACCAAACCCTTGGTGTCTAGATTCCAGCATCTCAGAGTCAAGTGGTTATCAAGAAACTGAGCTCTGATGCTTCTCCCTCAGGGCCCAACAATTATGTTTACAATATAACAACCATCTCTAATACTTTATTACATGTAACTTGCAATTAAAGTGTTTTAGACCGTGATCCAGACACACAAGTGTGTGAACACAAAGTTCTTACCTGAACCTTTTAAGTGCACAACGAAACACAATGACACATGTACATTAGATCCATTTATTTTATCTAAGCTGTGGGCACCCACACACAGGTGCTCTGGGAGGCAGATGTATGATTGCATAACTCGTTACATAATGCGCCCCATCTTCTCCAATTCGGCTGCTCTTTTCTCTGGCAGAGAGTCAGGAAGGTTACGTGGAGCTGAGCTCTGCCCTGACGGCTGCTCCCACAGACCTCCAGCTAGACTCATAGATGAAAGCAAACGCTGGAGCCGCCGCTGCAGCAATCAAACAAGATCAGATGGAGAAAGAGAAGGCTATGGGACAGGTATGATCAGGTGAGATGAAGGGCAGTGCATTGCAACTGGATTTGCTTCAGGACCCAGATTTTACACTGGACATCAAGTGGCAAGCCAATATGGTTCCACAAAATGAAACTGAAATGTCCTAAGATTGTGAAGTGTACATTTTGCTATCCCATGGGCAGAGATGAGTGTAATGAGTCAACAGATTTGGAAAAAAATCTGGTAGAACAGCTAACAGTTTTCTGCTTTCTATGCTTTCTAACAAGCATTCTGATGTGTGCTGATGTGGACAAAACACCACACTAAATTTATTTTTATTAGCATTCATATTTATTCAATACACAACAACAATGCTACAAAATCTACAGTGTGAAACCACTAGACTAATCAGTGTAGTCCGGTTACCAAACAAATGACTCTTCAGAGCCAGTTCTTTTTAGTGAATCAAATTCATACGGCACAACTAGCGTTGTCGGATTTCCAAGGAAATGATCCTAATTAGTCAGTTATTTTTTAGTGAATCGAACATATACTGTACAACTAGTGTAGTCTGACTCACAAAATGACTCTTAATATCCAATTATTTTTAGTGATTCAAACACATACTGTACTACTAGTGTAGTAAGATTCCCAAACATGTACTGCCCAACTAATGTAGTACAATTCCCGAACATATGATTCCACTGAGTTGTTTCTTTTAGTGAAACAAACACACAAAAACAGCCAATGTAGTCTGATTAGTGAATGAATGACTCTGATGAATTGGTTCTTTTTAGTGAATCAAGCACACTCAGGTTACAGCTTGTGAGACTTAAATCAGTTCAGTTACTGACTGTTTGTTTAAGGCAACACGTGCATAAAGATAAATTGAAGATAAAAATATCAATTGTGTGTAATACATAGTTAATGAAACCTTTAAGTAACCAGAATGATTAAAGTGCCCCTATTATGCCATTTTTAAGGTTCCTAATATTGTTTTTGGAGTCTCCTACAACAGGTTTACATGCATGCAAGGTCAAAAAATGCCTTTGTTTTCTCAAAATATGCATTTAATATCACCTCATTTTCCAACGATTTGTCCGAAGCAGTTCTAAGATTCAGTCTCTCTAAACCCCTCCTTTCGTTGAGCCTACTCTGCTTTGTTATTGGTCTACCGTGTACAGCGTGTGTCTGAAACATTACGTTCATTGCCATAGTTCCGCATTTTGAATGCTCAAAAGAAAATATACAAATCTATTATTTATCATACTTACAGGTTGTGATTCAGTGGAGCCAGCTGGTCCAAATAATCTGGGTACAGAGCCATCTTTCAGGAGCAAGCGTTTTGTGAATCCCGCATTACATTAAACTCCCCGAGATTAGAGAAGCAGTTGTCAATAAAATTAATAAGATTGGGGTTGTACTGCTGTGGTACAGTCGAAAAGATGAATTTTAATCAATGATTCTTTGCAGCCTCATCTTTCGGAAGTGAAAATAAAACAAATTTACTTTCACAGCGCAGGACACAGCATCTTCTCGACATGATGTTAACCACACGAACAAGCTACCGTGTTTGAGGGCGGGGTCAAGTTGTTCGCGGCTGGCCAACATAAAACATAGGTGGGTATTATGCAAATGTGTGACCCCATGATGTGTAGAATTACTGACGACTCGTTTAGGCTGTTCAGAGTCGATTCTTTCTTTTAAGAGACAATAATTGTATTTATCGTGCACTTTCGGCTTAACAACTTTGCAGATTGTTTATATTCATTACACGCTGCATGAAAGGCAATATTCGAAATAGCATAATAGGGGCACTTCAAGAGGAATAAGAACAGAACAATTCAATTCTTTACTAATACTTTACAATTCTTTACTAACCCTAACTAATTATAGATCAATGTACATGAGCCACAGGACAATGGTGGATGTTGTATATCTGGTAATATATTCATAATACACATTAATGGTTGATAAGTTCAAATTCAGTACATACTATGAACCAACAGGAATTCAAATGCAGCCATAGAGCTAGAAGAAGAAAAAACAGAGTGGCAGACAGTGAAGAGAGAACAGTTTGTCTACAGTCTCCTCAAACTCAGAATTCATGCCACATATATGACAAGAAACAGAGACTGTTGAAACAGGAACACAGAGATGGAAGAGTGAGCCCTGACATAAAGCTATCCAACCCTGACGCACCACTCTTACTTAAAGGCACACTTTGATGTATCTATAATTACTACATACTGCCTTCGAAAATAAACTGAATTTCAATGAAAAGAAAGAGAAGTAGAGAGAGAGGCAGCATGCTGAAGACATTAATCGGCATGTGTTTGATGTGCCTGATCAGAAATGTGTTTGTTAGGAGTTAAAGGGAACAGTAATTAAGCCATAGACGGCCTGTTTTCAGGCAATCTATTATGACGAGCTAAAGATTTTTCTCCTCAACTCAACTCTTTGTGTCCACCTTTTCCATTCTGGCCTCTAACTCCTTTCACCTTGAACCATTTTTAAAGGCTTATTCACACCAAGTCACATGACCAGCCCTCTCATTAGATTGGGTTACTGTCAATGAAATGTACAGATGATTTGAGTTCTTGTTAGTATAAAATGTTAAATAAATGAATGAATAAATAAAAACTGAAATTATACACATTTTATTCAAATTTCACTTGAGTTACTGGTTCATTTACCAAACTATAAAAAAATAGTATGTCAAACATCTAAAATGATTAAACTTTGAATGGAGATGTTATACAAGATCATTTATAAGATCTATACAGATAATCTGCATTGGACGACTAAATTCTTCTCATCCAGTTCGTCAGAATATACCTGCCACTCCATACCACAGAACCAATGGAAAGCATAAGCATGGTTTATATATGAAATAGTGTGTCTAAGTGAGCATTTCGCCTGTGTGTGTGTGTGTTTGGAAGCAAGAAAAGGGGGGGGGGGGGAAACATGGATGCATCAGAGAAAGACGGCTAAACAGATCTCTGGAGGAAGACCACCATGCCTCCACCAGCAAGGGGCTGTCATGGCCACAACGCCACATAAATATTTAACAGTTATATTCAAATTACAAAACACAGAGCCTCCTGCCTCAGATAAAAACATATTCCTGGAATTATCAGAGGAATGCTAAATCATGGCCATCCGCTCCACCCTCCCTTCTCTCAACTTAAAAGAAAAGTGGAATGGGTTTATGAAAAGAGCTCCCATGTACGTGTAGGAGTGTGTACCAAAGAAAGCAAAAAAGTGTGTTTATGTTAGGTCAAAGGTTAGCCAGAGTGCTCCTGAAGAAGTTGTCCTAACAATGCGCACACCTAGACTAGAGATTGTGACAAGTTACCTGACCCTTGACCCCAGAGGAGATGTAACACAGGGTACATAGCTGAAAACCGAAGTTCACAAGGTTCAGGTAAGGGGTTAGTTCATCAAAAGAATGAAAATTTGGTCATTTTCTTTTTGTGTCATTCGAAAACAAGTATGACTGACTTTTGTCTGTGAAAAACAAAAGGGAATGATCTTAATAATCGGTGCCATATAATGAGACATTAGCTGTCAAGGACAATATAGCACTGTAAAAGTAGCTCACAAGACTTATACACTAGATTTCAAGTCTTGTAAATCATACAATAGCTCTGTGTGAGAAACAGACCAAAACATTATTCTCGAGAAATCTTCACCTCCACCATAGTTCTCAAAATGTCCTGCTTTAGATTGATAATGTGAAACACAACTACCAATTCCTATTGCCATAAATAACTTCAAAACTATGTCGCATATTTTATCATATTCGGCAGGACGAAAAATGTGCTGAGAAGAAAAAAAGTGCAAATTTACTGTAAAAGAATGAAACGTGAAGACACCAAGAACCTTTAATCATCCAGTGCCACCAATTCCCCAACAAAAAACGTACCTGGAGTGCCCAGAAGTACATCTTTGGACTCTTTCAGGTGGCAGAAGGACTGAAAATCAACTCCCAACTACTACCAATTTCTGGACGCTTTCTTTGAACATTGGAACAATTTAAGAGAATGCAAGACAAAAATGATCTCAATTTAGGACAATGCTCTAACCTGATGGAGAGATCTTCTCAAACATAAGATTTAGCCTGAGGGGAAAACAATAACTATCTTTAAACAGGCCAAGAAAATGACAGATTCAACAGATGGGAGGTTCATGAAAAGCACTGAAAATAAGGATGTCTGTATTGGCCACAATTTTTTAAAATTTGTTTAAATGGTCAAAATGTTATTAGATTACAAATAATTATTATATGTTTTTTATTATTATTATTAGTTATGTATTAAAACAAAATTTTACTAATTTAAAGTTAATTGGAAAATAATGTAATCTAGTTGCCTAATAAATGCATTAATTAATTAATAAAAAAATAAAAAAAGTTGACCAAATTTTACTTTTGGAGTGCATTAACCCCATGCACATCAAACTTTGGGGGGGGGGGGGGG